AGTGCCTGCACAATTGAATTAATTTTTAAGTTTTAGTAACGCAAAATTTACTCAATATGCAAAATAATTGTAAGTTGTTTTAAACTTCGAATTTATTTGTTTTAAACCACATTCAGTATTTTTGAATTGGATAACATTGATCCAGTCGCCCGCGTGGCACAGTGGTTAGAGCGTCTGCTCTAGAGTCGCGGAGTAAGGAGTTGATCCTTACGTCGCGGGTTCGAATCCACTGCAGTACGTGGAGACCGGTCCTTCGGATGAGACATTATAAACCGAGGCCCCGTGTCGCAGAAGGTGTTGGCACAAAAAAAGATCCCTCACTGCTCAATGGCCCTGAGTGCCGAGTATAGGCATAAATTTGCAGCCTTCCAACGGCCAGTCGTGGCGTCTCCATATGAGTGAAACATTCTCAAGAGTGACGTTAAACAACAAACAAACAAACATTGTCCCAATTTCAAAATGTATCAGAAAATAAAATTCTTTCTATCGATAAAAACGTCACATTATTCATACATATATCTAGGTTCCATAAAGCATGCATCTTTTGACATATCTAAGTAAAGCAGAGTAGCGGATGCCGTTTTGTTTTAAATATCATGCACATTATTAAGTCTCACAAAGTGACCGTCAAGAGAGGAAGCAAAAAGGAACATCTTTTCTCTAAATCAAAGCCTTTTAAAAGAGAAAATGACCCGTGACTTTTATTCCTAGTGCCGTCTGCTTTGTAAAGGAACAGTCACTACCTATGTTTATCTTTTAGGTTTGAGGTGGCGCGGCGAACGATAATCTAACCTGGGCCTCCCGATCACGAAGCGATAGCTATCAAGGCTATCTTGACCGGTTTGAAGAATTAGATGTTGATGTCATACTTTTTACATGTGTAGAGTTTATATTGAGCATAATATTGAGCACATTTTTATCAAATATACTGTTTATTCCTCATTTTACGCGAGCCTTTAATTAAGCGAAATAAATCGTCGACGTCAAATCATGGGAACATGAAGCCCTGATTTGAAGCTTGATCTAGAATTGTTAAATGCTTTTCAGCAATAAAAAATAAAAGCGAGTAATCTTATTTAACGATTGTTGCTTTCTCGAAATTATCCAGCAATAAATTTTTAGGAATCTACGACACTTAATTTATTCACAACATATTTCTAAATGCAAGTAAGCTCATTTACTACGAGTGAATATAAATCCCACAGAATAATTCTAAAAATACGAGGAATAATAAAAGTCGTTTCTTCCTTGAATATTCATCGGTTTTTCAACTTTAATAAAATGTTGCATACTGAACTCTGTTTCAACGTTAAAAAATCGACAAACATTCAAGGTTGAAAGACCGGTCGCGGAAGCCTAGTGGTAGTGCGCTCGCTTCGTGATCAGGAGGCCTTGGTTCGATTCTCGTTTGCTGCGCCGCGTAAAACCTAAAATGTAAACATAGGTAGTAGTTTTGTACCGATAATCAGAAAACATCGATTGTCGACGAAAAAATGCTACCGATTCCGATGATCGATTATAATTTTTCATAATCGATCATCGGAAACATACTAATACAATACATTCCAGAATTATCCATTTCTGGTTGAAAATTTATTTCTTCTTAATGAAAGAAAATGGCATCTGCATCTGATACTAGCCAACTAGCACGAAGCAGAGGTGATTAAGAACCGAAAGGTGTATATATAGGGCCTAAAAAAATTTGCTTGCTTCCTGTAACCCGATCGACCCATTTAATTTACCCCCGGGTGGATTTTTTTCTGCCAAATCTGTGTTTGCTCTTTAGTCATCTTTGATTAATCAGCTGATTCTTTTTATTAAAAAAATATTAATTGTATCTTTTATTTGAGATATAAAATACGCCACTTAGTCAACATTTACCTTAAATATAAAGAGTAATCAATTCCCCCACAACTTTTTGAAGTTCGATTTCTGCCGCTAGTCAGCCATGTTGGGTGTCCACTGTACATATACATGTAACACCTGGATAATTCAGTCCAGGGATCTTTGACCCCATTATTCATAAGCAAAAAAAAAAAAAATTCCTGACCCTACCCAAACTTGATTTTTTGGGAATGTTACAGGAAACAAGCATATTTTTTTTAGGCCTAGAAAGTGTAAAAGAAGCAAAACAACAAAGAAAATAATATATTATATATTTTATATATTCATGTTAAAGAAATAATATGAAGTAATTGTAATAGTCTGCTTTTTGTATACAAAACTATGAAATCCGATTATAATCGGTAAAATCGCATCGGAAACAGTAACCGATTCCAACCGATGATCGATTATGAAAATTAACCGATGTCCCATCACTAATAGGTAATGTATGTTCCTTCGTTAAGCATCCGGCATAAGTGAAAGCTACGGGTCTTTTGGATGAGACCTTAAAAACTGAGGCCCCGTGTCACGGTAGGTGTTGACACGATAAAGAACCCTTACTGCTCAAAGGCATTGAGTGCCGAGTATACCTCTAAATTGGAAGCTCTTCAACGGTAAATGGTGACGTCTCTATATGAGTGAAAAATTCTCTATTGGAACATAAAAATATACAATCAATCAATCAAAGTTGAAAGTATATTGGAACTTTGTCGTTTAAAAAAGCAACTTTGGATTACAGTAATTCAGCGTAATTCATATAAATGTACTGCGTCTTCTAGATATGTTTAAACAACTTTCGTGTGCCTGCTGGGGGCCTAAAAATTTGAACTGAAAAAAAAAAAAACAGTCTTTATTCGATCTAACCATAGGTTGTATTTGCAAAGGAAAATTATTGTTTACACGCTTCCACGTCGTCACTGGTGATGCGGATATCATGTCCGCAAAGTTAATTAGCACTCTGTCAGAATGGATAAAATGTTTTAGAAACATATTAAAGAATCGTATACGAAAATTAAAAGGCAAGTGCGAACCATCTATCCTTCCGTTTTCACTAAATCTGAAGTGATAAAAGAATTAGAGAGACTACATGAAAAATATGTCATGGTCTAGCAGACAAGGCTGGTGACAATATCGTCTTTGTAAGGCTCATTATTATTAAATGTATTTTGGAAGAGCTTTTAATTCTACGTCTGAAAATCCTACATATGCTCGCAGATTTCTTTGCAATGAAGAAATTCTTCAAAATCACATTTCAATGTTTCATACTTTTAACATTCCAGTCATGATCAACCAAGGTAAATTTGATCTACCATACCTATACCGAATTCCCAAACTTCATAAAAATCCTTACAAAGGAAGATATACTGCCGGGTCCAGCAATGCTCTGCCAAGCTAATATCTTTACTCCTTACCAAAAAATTAACTGCTGTTAAGGAGTAACTTCAGACATTGTGCTACAGCATACTCTAGAATTGGTGTTAATCAGCTGTGGATCCTCATAAACTCTAAAAAACTTTTAAAAATTTGAAATCACAAAATTTTTCAAAGATCTACAACATTAAAATGTACGACTTCGCAGCACAGTTAAGATGCCAAATGGAAATATCGGCGAATTTTTTAGATAGAAAATACATTTTTTACAAGGATGGGCATTTCTTTTAGGACTTTACTATTATCGGACAAATGCAATGTGGTTGAAAACTAGATGTTGAGGACGATTAGATTTCTTATTAAGACTTGTCACGTGATGTGGCAGTCACGTGATTCTAGCAAATATACCTGAAGTATTGAGGTCATCTATAAATTCTAATATTGCAAGGGCATAACAAAGTTAAAAATCTAAGTTTAACATATAATTATTTTCAACACTCTTTGTAGTTTGTAAAAAGTGCTGCGAACCTATATAGATTCTACTATCAAATTGCTAAAATTACATTTGTTATACCGTATGTTGAATATTTTGCTGGTCAAGTACATTAAATATAGATATAATTAATTCATTTGTAAGATTTCAACAGGTTCGCAGCACTTTTCAAATATCTTCATACTTCTTGAGTTTATGTGTAAAAGCTTGTCATAATTCGTTGAGGGTATGCCCTTGCAATATATCGATTTCTTACGACCCTTTTATTACCCTTCAATGAATCAGCAAACAAATATACGACAGTATCGCTTGTCTAGGGAATGTACGGTAAGTATATGAATAAAATCATAAAACAGACATCGCATCCAAGTTAATGGCCTCTTATATATCTACAATCTATATTTTATTTAATTACAAAATACATTTTTCATTGTATGAATATAACTTGATCCGCCTCTCACTGCATAGAAGCTGCGTCAAATTTTCCGATATGACGTCACATTGACAAGTGCATTACGATCAGTGAATTGTCTATAAATTGCTGTGTGGGATTTAACCAACGACAATAATGCTTGCACTAGTTAGTATTGATGTAGTTTAAAGCTATTCATAAGTTTAAAATAGCAAATCATTTCATTTTGTGGTAATTTGAAGAACTTAAGATTTTTGTGTGATGTCATAGTAAGCATTTCCCGTATAAATTAGGCCCCGTCTCCTTACTGCAGCCTTAACTGTGCTGCGTTTTCTACCTTTATACAACAATTCCTTATGATAGGTTAAGAACTAGGCTTTTAATATCATAGACAGCTGGTTCTTCAATAAAAACGGAAGTCAGAAAATTTCACATCTTGTGATAGGGTCTGTAAGTCTCGTCACGTGACTCGCGAGATTTTTCGATAATATTAACTTCCGGGTACCTCACACATGGAGATGTGTATTGGGTTACACATGTTTATGGTTTACACAAAGCGTACAAGGAAAGATTAAGCAGTTGTACAAAGCCGAAGGGTTCTCCGACGTACGATGGATGAATTGAGTGTCATAAAAGCTTGGATGCGAGCATCCAGGAGGAGAATTTCGATCGAAGTACAGGTAAACAAGTCGGAGAATGTCACCTGTTTCTTGTGAATTCTTGGGGGAAATCGAAGTGTCTTGTATCATACCTGGATGGAATAGTTTTGTAATCATCATTCCAATTAATTTATTAACAGATTTTTCTTGAATTCGAGAACAATGATGTTAATACCAACTGATAAAAGATGAATAGCGTAAGTGCCCGATGGGTACGAACGTCATCTTGTGACTGCATCACCTTTGTTTGGGTAAATAATTTGTTCAGAATACGCTTCATTTATCAACAGAATTTTAGCTGTTGCGTGCCAGTGAGTCTAGTCTTAAGCATTCAATGTTTGAAAGAACATATTTCCCAAGGATAGATTTTCTTTATATATTCTGCCAATTCTCTCTGTATTTATCATTGAACAAAATTCACATGACTGCAACAATATGACCATATTCTTCAGTTTAGAGAGCATGTTATAGAGGAGATTTTGGTTAAAGTTTCAGTCTGTTAAGGTTTCAGTCTGTTTCAGTGTTTGAAATATTCTTTCATCTTACACAATTGTATACATTAAGATTCATTTTATAGCTAAAGTACAAGAGAACTGCAGCACCGAAGACTACATGTACATCGATTTAAATAATCTGTATCCTCAAAAGGCAAATCAAATACAGGTATGAAATAATGTCACAAAATAAGTTCTTGGACTTACATTTACTCTGATAATACGCATAAAGCATATCAAAAGTAGTAAAGAATTATAGGTACATCAGGTGACAACTCAATCAAGTATGGAGTATTATTAACCCTGAGTTTCCAATTGTAAAAAGGGTATTCAGTATATTCAATACAAGTTGTCAATCATTTATAAGTGATTTGTCCGGTGGTGCTTAACTTTTCTCCCACAGGTTTTTTACACATTCACCCATCATTTATCTATACTGTATTCAAGCATTTCTGGACTTTTTTTTGTTGGGAGATGTAAGATTTTTGAAGTCCTTTATGATTTGGACACTTTTTCTTGATCCAGTAGATGCTTTTTTTTCTTAATTAACATGACACTGACAAATATTGGACCCCCATAACTTGAATGAATTGTCATTTCTTGTGAGGGTGATGTAGTTGTAATTAGTATAGATCTATGCTGAGAAGAAAGAAATCTATGAAACCAAGCAGTTTTGTGTACTTGTTTGTACTTGTTTTTTTTAATAACTTGTATTTTTTTAAATAAAAAAGCACAGTAGCATAGTGGTTTTCTACTGAGAAACCAAGGTTCATTACACAGTATTGGTGTAATGTTGTTACACCTGAATATGTTATAACCTGATGCATTTGGCTCGGGCAAAAGGGTACTTGTGCATCGAAGGAGTTGATCAATGATAGGTCTAATCAATATTCACAAATGTCACATATGCATATAACCAACATGTCAGCGATGTATATGATATATCTCTCAAGAAACATCAAAGTGTAAAAAAAAAAACCCAACTTTTTTTCTATGCATTTGAATCATTTATAACACTAAAATTGTATTTAAAAATTCGGCTAACAATAATGTCAAAGAACAATATAGTCTTTAACACATAAGTACAATTTTGCATTCATTCGTCTATTCACTCTATTGTATTAAATGAGGTTCATTTGCATATAAATGTTGTTTACATTGTTTTACTGTCTTTAATAACTTGTAATACTAAATTTTATAACTTGACAAATTCTTCTTTTTAGAAAATGCATATAATTTGGAAAAGAGACCACCAATCCACTGGGGGGTATCGCATGAAAGCAATGATATTACAGAATATTGTAAAGCTGGACGAGTTCTGGTGAAACAGGTAGGCAAGTACTTTGTTCTTGGAATTCTTCGCCCCAGTTAAGTTTTATTTTTCTCATTCGGCCCTCATTACAAGTAGGTGAATTTAAAGCGGGGCAAATTCAAAGAAGGCAGCATATATCTTTTAAACACAAATGTGCTTCGTCAAATTTTAAAAGGGCAAAATTGTTTTCAAGAGTGAAAGAGTGAATATATTAAGAATTAAAATGGGGTGAAAATACCTAATAATACAGGTTATATGTATTTATGTATTAACACAGTATATTCTTTATAATGAAAATAATTTGTTCTGTAAAAGGACAAATTTTGTTCTGATTTGTATTTAATAAAAAAATAAATGCCAGATTTATAACATATTTTGCAGGCACCTAAATTACCATCAGTTGTGTGTCAAGCTGTGCAAAAATTCTATGTCATATTACAGAATCTTTTCTTAAATACAGGTATATGTCTGCTCATCTGGCAATCTTTGGACATCACTGGATGGTACTTCCAGCATGAAGACCAGCTAGTTGCCTCACCTGTCTTGACATTGTTAAAGGTAAGTGACCCTTTCAGAAAAGGATCTGACAATGCAAAGGCTTGCTCATCAATTAAAGATTTCTATTTATCAATAGCTAATTAATTTGAATTTCTGTAGCTTAAAAATTTAATGATATGAATTAAAAAAAATATTTTAATCAAAATTATTTTTATTTCAGTACTTTGAGACAGTGAAAAGACATGGCTCTAAATTACTGCATCAGAGATCTATCCAGGTTATAAATCTGAGGAAAACAATAAAGCATCATTTGGAGCTACTTATATCACTGCCTTAACGAGTTGTCTGCAGACGGGGCATCCTTAAAAACTTCAGTCGCACTCGTCACTTAGAATAGAAAACTTCATAATTTTAAAACTTTTGTATCAATCCTTTTGCACTTCATCTGACTTGGAATTTCAGTAGCCTTTACATGTAACATCCTTCAAGCATTTCATGAAGTACCAATTTGCAGGTGTAAAATGTTTGTCCCAAATGAAACAAAAAAAAAAATAAATTCTCTGGCAGTTACATGTAGCAGTGTCCTGAGCAGTTGATTGATGTCACAGTTCCACGGCATAGTATTTGTAGTTGAATGGTGCCATTTTTAAGAAAACTTTTCACAAAAACCTGGAAAACATCAGATGGAAAGGAGCATCTACAAGAAAAACAGTGAACACTTTCTTGAATATTAACAATGATATGTCATGCCCCATTTACATCCTTTATATAAACTAATTAACCAAATCATAGAGAATTATATACAAATTTGTCCTTTTGTGTATTTATAGTGTAATAAATTGATTTTACTAATTTATAAATATTTATGTTTTTCGCAGTCATAAATATTTACAAATATAAGTACATATAACATAAAAATATTACATGTTTATTAGGATAACATGAAATTGTAATTCCTCAAAAACCATCGCTGACCGAGGCGAACAATGGTTTTCAAGGGGTAACAATTTCACATTACCCAAAATAAACAAATAATATTTTTCTTGTTTTAGAATGCATTTGAAAGAAAACATCAAGGTGAAACGAACGTGCAAACATTCTGCACAGCCAACAATCTTTATTACTATATATTTACATTTCCAATGTCTTTGTCCGAGATAAAATTTCAAATAGTAAAAATACTTTATTTCTACATCGATGTACTGGTTCATCCATAGGCGTGGTGAAAAAAAATATCACGTGTGGAGCAGGACAAATAGAGACAGAAGCGGGGCTTGAAGCACGTGAATTTGCAGGATCAAGAGCATGCATGGCCGTAGGAACCGGGGGGGCCGTGCCCCCCCAATAATTTTGCCGATATACAGAATACTATAGAAAACATAGCTACTACATGCTTGTGCCCTCTCACTAATAACGTCTGATGACCTTTTTTTTTCTTTTTTTTTTTGCTTGTCAAGGAATTTTGGAGTTGATAGTGCCCCCTCAACTGAAAATGTATGATTGTGCCCCCTCAAAGTGAAATTGCTTCCTACGGGCCTGGCATGTATATATAAGGAATAACTGTCAGATTTTTTGGTTTCATGACGATGATCAATCGATTGGCTTGCGTGATAATTTTATGCATAAACGCCTTCGGCGTTTATGCAAATTATCACGCAAGCCACTCGATTGATCACATCATGAAACCAAAAAATTAGACAGTTATTCCTTAAATATACTGTTACCCTTAGTCATGCATTTTCAACCATTGGGATGTAATGTTTGGCATGCAGTAGGGTAATAGTACTTGTTAACAAATGTTTTTAATCCAAATTTGACTATTTAACAGGAAAGTATATGAAAAATTTAACTAGCATTATGGTGCTGAGAGTAACCATGGTATGTGAGCTTGTGTGAACTTGATCCTGAATTATTATGTTTTGAATATTGTAAAAGAAATGTGCAGCCAAAACTTTGACCTGTACCTGATTTTGATGGAGCCTTCTTGGAAGTTGTCACACTGTTTACGAGTGTAATAACTGGGATCTGCTTCATTTGCAGATACATGGATAACACATTCACTCAAAGCACTGTCCCTTTTTCAGTACCTTGTGCAGCCCTGTAATATATAATGACATATGGAGAAAAATTCTATTTCAAGAAAAATATCTGTCATAATTGTAGGAGTATTGGAAAGGGGGGAAGGGTGTCATGAAGCCTGGTAGTTAATATGTGTACATGAAAAAAATACCTTCTTTTTTGTAGAATAAAAAATGATTTTTTTTTAGTGTGTGTGACTATTTTTATTTCTGGATAGACCATGTAGACAGGGTAGACTACAGAACGAGCTGTCCATTTTTATTCATTGTAGTAATCAAATTAAAAAAAATAGAATGTGTTCTCTACAAGGATCATGTGTTATCGACGTGGTAATCAACTTTGTATTCTCATGGTCGATGCATTCCGGATCTCATGCACACCTGTCCAATACTCCAAAATAGACCCTTGTAAGCTAAATCAATGCAATAAATTTCTGAAACCAATCTGTAGATAAGCTCACCTTTTGAATACAGACTATTTTAGCATTAAAACGATTTAATTTTCCCTTTATGCTTAAGTATTTTGGCTAATTTTGGTCCGCTCAGAATGGCTTGTGTTTACGTCATGTAATGAAAAAATAAAGCAATTAAACGCTATTTACCTGCATCTATCAATCCATTTTCTCCTCTTCTTTGCAACAATTGGGAATCAAAACAAACTACAAGTTTTATAATTCCACTGCGATGCTTACAACTTAAAGCGAAACAGTAATCCATTGTCTCCAAGAACGCTCAGGTACCCGGAAGTTTAAAAACGAAAGTGAAAGTAAATGAGACTTACAGGCCCTATTGGCCATCAACGAAATTACTTTGTTAAAAACCACTCTGATTCTACACGTAAGTACTCTGAAGTTGATATGAAAAAGATGCTGGAGTTCCTCACTGACAACAATTATATACTCTCGGAGACCTATTCTAGTCTTCCGACAAATTGTTGGAATTCCAATGGGCACTAACTGTGCTCCTTTATTAGCCGACCTGTTTTTATGCTTGAATGAAGCAGAATTTATTTAAAAAGAGCTTCTACATGAGAAGAAAGCACTTGCCGTGACATTCAACTCGACATTCAGATATGTCAACGACGTTTTATCAATTAACAAAAGTTATTTCAATTTGTCGACTCGATGTATCGCAGTGAACTTGAAATAGAAACCAAGGAGTCTGCCACATCTGCTTCATATTTGGATGTTTTATTGACTATAAACGACAAAAGGGCAAATAACAACTAAATTGTATGACAAACGAGATCACTTCAGCTTTTCCACCAACAACTTCCCTTATTTATGCTGTAATATTCTGCTATCATCTGCATATGGTGTTTACATGTTTGTCTCCCAGCATATTCGCTACTAAAGAGCATGCTCTGAGAACGACCAGTTTTTAACCGAGGGCGGCTACTCACACATACCTTCATTGTACAGGGATTTTAACAACCTCGTTTAAAATCAGAATTCCGTAAACTCCAAGGTCGTCATAATGATATCATAAGCAAATATACTAGTAACCAATCACTGTGACGTATTTTGGCTGACTTGTTTCCTACCAATCGTTAGACCTTTGTTTTTATACTAAATTGACTATTGTTTTCATAGAACGTTCCGTCTACTTGATCAAAACATAGGGCTAAAGGCAGATGTGACCGGTCAACAGAGAATGCTTGGTCCTCCTAGGCACCTTATTCCACCTCTCTGATATTTCAAGGGATCCGTGTTTATGACCTGGTCACAGATTTGTATATGTTTGAAGTTCTTGTGAGATCAACCACTGTTCGTTATCTTCACCCTTCTTCTCGTTGATTCATAAGGTACATGAGCTTAACTTTTCAAGTCTGAAATCAATTACCTTTTAATGCAGCTAAAGACAGTAAATCAATACTGTTTAAGTCTCTATCTTATTTATTGAATAGAAGTAATGCTTTTAAATATCGATATATTTTATTGTAACTTATCTGCATAATGCTATTTTTAGAGATCACTAGAAAATCTCATGCTTTTTGAACAGTCTTTTTGTTTACCAACTTAAGCATGATTATTTGTTGGACTACATCAGTAACAGAAAGAACCCTTCATCATCTGAGCAAACATAATTTAAAAATCTGCTATTGCAAGCATTAGCGTATTAGCCCCGAACTGAGCCATAAGCTGTAAGATTCTTCAAATCTTAAAGAAGAAAGTATTCGTAAACCACCCTTCCCCCTCCTTCCTTTATGCTTGCTAGCGTTGGTCGATCCAAAATTACGGGAAGCGAAAGTAGAGTAAGGTTCAAATCAAAACATGGCTGAAGCAAAATAGTTCCTGAATTTTCCTCTTCAGATTGGGCATTTCTGCATTGGACGAAGGCTGATATTTTTTATGAGATTATAAAGTATGTGTAAACTTTCATAATTTAGAAGAATCATGAACAACTCTGGCCTGCTATATCTTTTAGGTA